CTTGCAGTCGCGAGAGTTTTTTGACATACGTCGGCATGACATCAGAGCAAGGCGGACCGCACTCGGACACATTTCTAACCGGCATGCATCTCGCGCTGATCACCGGTGATCGGTTCTGCGCAGATTTCGCTCATCTCAAACAAGCCTTATGGTTAAGATAAACATCGTCACTATTTTTAGTTAATTAATAAATATTAAAATAAATTGTAGATAGGACATTTGTAAAAAAAAAAAAAAAAAAAAAAAAAAAAAAATGTATCCCTCTGTCTGGGCCCCATCCCGCCAGTCGGGCCCTAGGCACGTGCCTAGTTTGCCTTTGCGTTAATCCGGCTCTGCACAGATGACACTAAAATAATCCAATAAACTCTAATTTAGCAACTTAAGATGAGACGTAACTGTAACTGAACTGTAACGTACGTAACTGATAAGAAAAAATTAAGAAGAAACAATTATTTCAATGAAAACCATCAAATGTGAGCTTTCTAAAAACATTTGATCTATTACAGCTTTTCACTGTAGAGTGCACCGTAGAAACAGATAAGGGTATATATATATATATATATATATATATGTGTGTGTATAAAATACTTACTTGCAAGACGTAGAAGAACCCGCTCAGGTGATAACTCCTAATGCTCAGAGTTTCAGTGGGTGCTGCAGGAACAGATGCTCTGCCTATTTAAAGCCAGTGTGCAATGGTCGACGCCCACAAGACATTAATATTCATGAGGCTGGAAAGCAGATGCAACTTTTGTCCAAGTTGCTTCATGTGAGCGGTGAGTGACTCCGGGTCTGCTGACCAGATGATGACCCCTGTCTGCCAAGTTACACAAAGACAGTGGAGGAAACCTGTGTGCTGGTGGTCACGCGAAAACGCCATAAAGACGCACTCTACGTGAGGAGTGTGTGTAAGTAAACACACTCAAGAGGTTTATTAGTACCGAGAACTTGGTGATTCAGCTTTACAGATTCAGAGTTCACAGATAAGTTTGATAGTATTATGAGGAGCGGTAAAACACGTTTCAGTGTGATGTTTAACAACAAATAGGCCTGGATTATCCAGACGAAGGCAGATGATATGAGACGTAAACACAAACATGTGAGGAATATCTATAAGCAAAAACATTAGCAAAAGGTCTAAAAGCATTCAAAAATGTACTATAGTGGTACCATGGTACTTTTATAGCTAGACAGTTTTTGAAAAAAAGTCTCCTATGCTCACCGACACTGAGTTTATTTAATGGAAAAATACAGTAAAACAGTAATATTGAGAAATTGTTTTCTATTTAAAATATTTTAATTCATGTAATGCAAAGGAGAATTTTCAGCTTCAGTGTCACGTGATCCTTCAGAAATCCTTCTGCTTTGCTGCTCAAGAAACATTTCTTATTTCATGTGACCCTGAAGGCTACGGTAATGGATTCAGGATACTGTAAAGAATAATGGTATTACCATGGTATATGTCCAAAAAGAACAGTATTTCCAGCATACAATGTGCACATAAAAATAGTAATACTGTACACTTAATAGTGTACCTTAAGTGTTACATGAGTAAAAAAAAAAAAAAAAAAGGTGCATCAGAAATGTTCTGTCACAAACTATAATGGTAATGTAAATACTGTTTGTTGTTTTAAGACAGGAAATTAGACTATGATAAGAGACGCCACATCATTCGCTGTGAGGACCTTTACTCCACTGCCCTCTGTTCAGGCTCTTATATTAACAAGCCTGATGAATAAGAGAAACAATAATATAATGCAAGCTAATATGGTTCTTAAATGCTTAAAACAAAAACAAATTGTTTTTCAAATAAAAAATGAGCCGTTCAATTTAATACAATTAATTGAAATACAATTAATTTAAATTTAAATATTGGGTAACACTTTATTTTACAGTGTCCATGTTACATGTACTTACCATAGTAATAACAGTAAAATATACGCATAATTACATGCAACTAACCCTCAACCAAACCCTAATCTTACCCTAACCCTAGTTCATGTAGTTAATTAATATTACTCATTACTTAAATGTATAATTACATTGTAACAATGACGCATTAAAATAAAGTGTAATATTAATATTTTATATAAAATATATTTTAATATGCTTAATCTTTTTATTTATAACATATATTTTAATATGTTTTAATCTTTATTTTTGTATTCTCTTTATTTTTTATTTTATTTTTTAAATTAACATTAAGGCGTTGCAAAAAATGTCTAAGCAATTATGAGCTTTTTGTCAGGACTTTTTGTGCCGTAGTAAGTTATCGATAGTTCAAAAGCAGAACACAATATTTTTAGTTTTTAAACAGCAAACATGCTGACCTTTCACTTTCAGTAACATCCCGACTCAAGCACATCCTTAAAATGGAGTAAGAATCATCAGTGCTGAGGCTCTCATGAGGCTCTTGCATGAGGTGAGAAGGCAGATGAATGTTGGGTAATGGACTCACTGTAGACCTGCTGCCGCATCAGACACTTTCGACCCGTTTGGCTCTGATATGTGCCATGCTCTCTTCCCTAGATGCACAGACAGTGTTGGGAAACCACGTTCAACACGCGCAGATCGTGCTGGAGCAGCAGACGTGACAGTTCACACTGTTACATTGGGAAGAAACTCATTTCTGTTACGACAACCAAGTGTTTGGCATGGTAATGGATATGACAACGTTGATATGTTTGGTATTGGGGGAATAGATCTGCTACACTGCTGCTGTTGTTGCTGCTGATGATGGTTGTTGCGGCTGTAGAGCGAGTACGGGATTTGCTACTGCCAATACATACAAGACATGCTGCTACTGTACAATACAGCATACATGAATTACCCATAGCAGATCTGTACAGGTGGAGCTGGGGAAGGTGGAGGGTTTCTGAAAGCGCACTGCAACTGCTACAGCAAATGCTGACCAGTATTAAAGGTTGAGCAGCGAGTTCATTGGCTACTGATACAGCAGGAACCAATCAGCTGTGCCCTATAGAGAATGATGTGATTGCAAGCAGATTGAGTTAAGGACTATCAGCCTCCGCCATCTAGAGTTTCACGACAGAACTTTGCATTTTAACAACAACAACACGACTCACAATGTCGACATATGCCAATTGCCAATGCTTACTTATGAGATTGTTTTAGTAGTTTGGTGTTAATCTGCAAAGTGTAAAGCTAAATATAAGCTAAGTGAGCTGAAGTTTTTCTTTTTTCTTTAAAGAAATGAAATGCTACTATAGCAAGGACACATTAAATTGACCAAAAGTGGCAGTAAAGATGTTTATAATGTTACAAATGATTTTGGTTTGTAAGTAATTGCTGTTCTTTTTAACTTTATTTTCATCAAAGAATAAAAAGAGATCATGGTTTTCACAAAAAATATTAAAGTAGCATAACTGTTTTCAAAATTAATAATAAGAAAATGTTTCTTGTGCAGCAAATCATCATATTAGAATGATTCCTGAAGGATCATGTGACACTGAAGACTGGAGTAATGATGCTGGAAATCACAGGAATACATTACATTTTATAATATATTCAAATGTTGAGTGTAAGAGATATCTTTCAAAAAGATTTTAAAAAATGTTTACCAACCCCAAACTTTTTAATCCTATGGCAGGGGAAAATGGGTACGCACGCACGCACACACGCGCACACACACACACACACACACACACACACACACACACACACACACACACACACACACACACACACACACACACACACACACACACACACACACACACACACACACACACACACACACACACACACACACACACACACACACACACACACACACACACACACGTCTATACAAAAGTGCTGTTTAATTAAACATTTACAGTAAATGCACCTATGAAGTTCAAACATGCCGTTATAGAGTGAACATTTTAAAATGCCTATGCCCCAAATTATTTGAATCAAACATTGAAACATGCCCTGTAATGTAAAAAAAAGGCCAAATATTTACTTTTTATATTATTTACCACATCTTCAGTAAACAGGTGGCAGTAAATGACAGTAAGACCAATCATAATGTCAGCGGTGTCAGTGTGTCCTCATGCATTAGTACACACTCAGCGGTAAGATGACTAAAGTCTCATGCTAATCTGAGCTCAGGTGAGTGACCTGCATAACGTCTACAGGTCAGTCAGCAGCCCAGGTCAGATGCTGTATTGAGGCCAGTCATTATTTGTTTACTGGGACCATCTAAAAGTTTCAATTGTCACAATATTTGAATGTAATGCGAGTAAAAAATAAAATGCATGTCAGTCTGAAAATAACAGGCTTTAGAGATAACTTTTTAACATGTTCAGCTTTTTTTTAGTATGTAATGTTGCTGTTTAAGCATGAAAAAGGTCTGCAAAGTTACAAAGTCACACTGAAACGCCTCCATTGTAGTGTTGAGCTTTCTTCCGGGAACGAACATGTCACAATATTTCTCATTCAAATAATTCCTGCCCCAGCCATACGCAAATAAAGGGACGAGGCCTGTTTGAGTTACTTGAGGTTATGGTAAGGGGCGGGACATTTTACAAACACGCTCGAAGCGGTTGACCAATCACAACACACCGGTCCAGCTGACCAATCAGACCACAGTGTGCTTTTTAAAAGGAGGGGCTTCATAGAGACAGCTAAACAGTGTTACTGACAGACTGGGAAGAGAGGAGCTGCAACAAGAGAATATGAGGGAGGAAAAGGTGTTTTTGAACATTCAAGCATGAAAATCTACTGTAGTAGACACCAAAAACAAAATCAAGACTTTGTGAAAGGGCATATATAGCCTCTTTAATTAGATCTAAGCATGCAAAAAAGTACAAACATTAGACCAGTAAGAAAAATGTAAGTGATAAATCTGATAGTTTATTGGTAAAATTATTGCACAAAGCATTGACAGTATAGCAGCCTACATGAGCATAAACCCTTTCTGTAGTTCAGAGGAAACTATATTATAATCTCTTACAAGATAATTAGTCACAGTATTTCTAACAATGAAGTTCATGTGAATGTGTGTCACATGCAATATAGTGCACAAAACAAGGGCTATAGTTTTATAATGGTGGTGGGAAAAGGCGTTAAATCATTTTAATCTGCTTCATTATGACAAAAATATATAATGGATAAACATACAATAATAATTTCTGCATTAGAAAAATAAACCACTCTAGTTAAATTACCACAAAAAAATAACTATTTAACGAATAATTAGAAAGGCTGGAACTTCAGTTGGGTAGTTTCTTATTCCAGCGATGTGCGATCTAATATCGATAGCTACAGCTTACAGTGAAGCAAAATAGTTTTACACATTTTTTGCACATTACAAACTAGCCATGCATTACAGTGAGTATGTACAAAAGCACAGAATTAATACTCCTCACACAAGCGTCCAGTAACACGGACTCCAAATGTTTTAATACAGAGATATTAATTGTCCTTGATAATGTAAAACTGTTTCCTCAAGGGAAAATACAAAATTGGAGGTTCAGCACTTAAAGTGTAACTGTATATCTGCTTTTACAGGGATACTGTGTCATCATGAGTGTGTGACAGGCTGGATTTGTGCTCTGTGAGCGTGTGTGTGTGAGGTATAGAGGCACTACTCCTCTAAACTTCAGTATTTCAGAGCGGTGCGGGCCGGTGGCCGTCTGTCTTGCAGACACTCTTGACCAGAGCAGAGCAGAGGACCTGCCCACAGAAAGCAGCCAGTGCTGGGTGAAAGGTCACAGACCTGTAGCCAGCACGAGAAAGTGAGGCATGTAGCATATATATATATGCGTATGTATGTGTTATTTAACAATCAAGCTGTCAGCTTTACCTGTCAAAAATCACATACGGTAATTCCAATGCAGCCAAATCACATGACAGAGCAAACGCCAGTCTGCAGGTTCGGCCCGCTTCGGGTGGAGCTTCTTTTTGCGTACCTGAAGAAATTAAATTACATAATCAGAGTAAATCAATCAATGGATAACAACAAATTATGTTGCACATTTTTCTCCTTTAATATCCTGTTTCACTCAAACATATTTCAGATTATAGAGGGGAAAAGGCAGTGTTGTTTTTGTAGGCCTACTACCGGTATTTATCTGCAATTATAGTATTTATTAATATTATAAAGTTTTGTATAAAATCCATGTTTTTTATTTTCATTTTAGTTCTAAGTTTTATACATTTTTGTTAAGTTTCTATTTAGCTTTAATTTTGTATTTTCTGTTTTAGTCATTTTAGTAGGCTACTCAACATTTCTATTTTGTATAAATATCTATTATATTTCATTTTATTTAAGCTCTATTTTAATTAATGAAGTTTAAAAAAAAAGTTTTAGTTTTAGTTAACAATAGCAACTCTGAAAAATGGTTATGAATAGCACATTAACTTTAAATCTTGTTCTAACAGCTTTTGGCAAACTCAAACACATGAGATCCACTAATAATGTAAGTCAAGGTTTCTCACACTGAAAACATCATAATTTGACAATTGACCATTTTTCAGTTTTCGCCACTGTACCTTTAAGATGTAAATGACCTCTATTATGATTGGCTAGCCTTCTCGAATGTGAAATGGGTAACTATGCTCACACTAGGGGGCCGTTTAGGCTGTTTTTAACCAAAAAATGTAGGACTTTTTATGCATTTTCAACATTCATTTACACGACAACTGCATTTTGGGGGCCTGAAAACGCAAACTTTTGAAATCAGGTTTCAAAGTGAGTGTTTTTGAAAAGATATTGTCTCCGTATCTATTAACAACAAAAATGTGAATTTGTGAAAACGGTGTCTTCATGCGCATGGGTATTACGTGTTCAGTCTATGGGCTCGTTAACCTGACTCCGCCAGATGGATTTGCTCCGCATATCCATCTGGAAACCTTCCGTTGAAGTAGTTTTGGTAAGGGGCGAAAATACTGGTTAGCTGATTGGCCTATGTTTGGTGATAGACGGGCCAAATCAACCAATCAGATCAACGAAGCATATGACGTACTAACAGAGCGTATCTTTTCCTCTGAGAAAAGCCTCCAGAGCAGTGTTTTGCTCTTCTTTCAGTGAAGAAATACTCTGTAATTCCGATAAAACTTGCTCGATAGCCACGCTGATGCTAGTTTCATCCGCTGAAGCCGACATGTTCTTTAGACTGAACTGTCGCGCTTCTCGTTGCGCCACACCTCAACCCGCCTCAAAGCCAACGCTGATTGGACGTTCGTTTGGTGAACTGCTCCCAAATTTTCTTTAACGGAAAGTATCCAGACTGATCTGCGAGTGAAACCTTGAAAGCTCGCGAGATCAGGATGGTCTCACGAGGCTATGGGCTCGTAGTGTTTCTTTACAAAGTGTCATTGCCATCTACCGGCCAGGCAGCGAAATACCGCGTTCGGTAACTCTTTATTTTAAGGTGGCGTAGTTACACGTTACTACATGTGCTTTCTATTGTAATAACAGTAAATTATGCATAATTACAAGTAACTAACCCTAAACCAAACCCTAACTCTACAGTAAGTACATGTAATTCATTAATATTACTCAGTACTTATTTGAGCAAGTACAATGTAACTATGTCACCTTAAAATAAAGTGTAAGCCAGCGTTTTTAGTTATTTTTGCAGATCTGAGTGAACGGGATCGTTTTGACAACGTTGGCGCCTGTACGTCGAAAAAAAAAAGGCCACACTTTAGTACATTGTTGTTGCGTAAACATGCCCAAAGTTGCAGGGGGAAAAAAACATTTTTCTTAGTTAGTCTCCCAGACTGGTCAGGCTAGCTTAAACCAGACCAGAAAACTAGCTTAGGCTGGTTTAAGCATTTTGTTTTTCATCAGGTACAGTATGTAAACATAGGAGATCATATGTGACCCTGGACCACAAAACCAGTCACATGGGTCAATTATTTTAAATTGAGATATATATGTTATATGAAAGCTGAATAAATAAGCTTTCCATTGATGTATGGTTTGTTAGGATTGGACCATATTTGGCCGAGATACAACTATTTGAAAATCTGGAATCTGAAGATGCAAAAAAAATCGAAACATTGAGAAAATCGCCTTTAAACGTGTCCATTTATGTTCGCGATTGTGCTGCATTCACTCACAAAAATAAATGTTTTATATATTTACGTTAGGAAATTTACAAAATATCTTCATGGAACATGATCTTTACTTAATATCCTAATGATTTTTGGCATAAAAGAAAAATCGATCATTTTGACCCATACAATGTATTGTTGGCTATTGCCACAAATATACCTGTGCGACTTGTGACTGGTTTTGTGGTCCAGGGTCACATATGTTAATATGCTCATGGTTGACAAGGTGGTTGCTGAACATTTTCACAGCTTAGTTTCAATTTTAGAGAGTTTTAGTGCAAATGATCAAACTAAGATCTGTTTTCCATGACCTTTAAAGGTCATGGTCAAGGTCAAAATGTATTTCTATAGCACCTTTTAACAACACGAATGTTGACCAAAGTGCTTCACAGATACATTTCAACACAAACACATACCCATTTAGATCAGCTGGCTCCGAGTGATACACATGTTTGCCCTTCTCTGCAATGGTTAGGGTCCCGACATGAGTGGTCTCGCTGTGACTGACCCGCATCGGGTGGTACTGACTCTTCGGCTCGGTGGAGCCGGACGGCACGTTCATCTGATGACTGGGCACGTGGCCGTTTGGTTGTGGGGTCTCAGCGAACTGCTTCTTGCGGACGGATTCAGGTGTGGATGTTGCGATGACCTTGATCTCAGGCACAGTTGGAGGAGGGATGTGTTGCAGACAGGCCTCAGAGTGGGCCAGCTGCAGCTTCTTCATCTGGCGAATGGCCACTGTAGCGTTGAAGGCTTGCTGGAGGGACGAGATCAGGATTTCAGACAGTCAGTATAGAGCAGGAAAGAACGGAAGCTAATAGACAGATTCAGGACCACGTTTTTTAGTACCAAATCTCACTTTGATTGTATCTGGAAACATGAAGTAAAATGCATTTTAATGGTGCACAAAAAGAAATATTTTTTCTGTATGAACGATAGACCTGTGCGGTATACAAAAAGAGCTTACTGCGATGAGTAGTGTCCCATAATGCAGTGCACTTCCATTACCAGCGTGATATTTAACTGACTGTAAAATATGTAACGACTTTGAAACCATATGAAAAACCGTACCAGTATACCAGTTTACAGCACAGTATGCATTTGGCAGTGTGCTAAATATGCAAATATAATGTTTATGTTCGGAATTGGACACTGGTTTACTAACTAAATATTATAACTGTACAGTTATTCATGAGACCATGCATTATAAGGTGCATAACAAGGCATAATTAAGGCATTACAATAATATTAGAATGCATTATACACACTGCCCACCCGGATTTAAACAGGCAAACGCTTAAAGGGTTAGTTCACCCCAAAATGAAAAGTAATTTTTCACCCTCATGTTGTTCCAACCCCGTAAGACTTTCGTTCATCTTCGGAACACAAATTAAGATATTTTTGATTAAATCTGAGAGCTGGATCACTCCTCCATAGGCTTCTTAAGGGATCGAAACTGGCCCGGCCCAAAAGTTATGAAAGACATCGTTAAAATAGTCCGAGTGACTACAGTGGCTCAATCTTAAGTTTATCAAGCGACGAGAATACTTTTTGTGCGCAAAAAAACAAACAAATAACGACTTTATTCAACTATTCATTTCCTTCTCTGTGGGCCGTGAGATTTCACGTAGTGAAACTACGCAAAGCTTCTAGGTTGTACGTCACACGCAGGCTCACTATTGGCCGACGCTGGTCATGTGTGTGATGCGTGTGACGTACAACACAGAAGCTTTGCGCAGTTTCACTACGTGAAATCTCACGGCCAACAGAGAAGGAAATGAATAGTTGAATAAAGTCGTTATTTGTTTGTTTTTTTTGCGCACAAAAAGTATTCTCGTCGCTTGATAAACTTAAGATTGAGCCACTGTAGTCACTCGGACTATTTTAACGATGTCTTTCATAACTTTTGGGCCGGCCAGTTTCGATCCCTTAAGAAGCCTATGGAGGAGTGATCCAGCTCTCAGATTTAATCAAAAATATCTTAATCTGTGTTCCGAAAATGAACGAAAGTCTTACGGGATTGGAACAACATGAGGGTGAGTAATTACTGACAGAATTTTCATTTTGGGGTGAACTAACCCTTTAAGGATCATTATTGCAGGGATTATTATGTTTCTAGCATGTTATACGTTTGTCAGCAGTTCTTCTAACACTAATTGATGGAGTGTGTAACTTTTCATTACTTAAACAGCCATGTAGGAAGACACATCATGACCATATTCCAGGATGACAATGTCAAGATTCATCAGGCTCAAACTGTGAAAGAATAGTTGTGAGGAGCATGAAGAATCATTTTCACACATGAACTGACGACTCTGAGTCCAGAGCTTAAATTCATTGAGAGTCTTTGGGATGTGCTGGAGGAGACTTTACAGAGCGCTGGACTCTTGCATTGACAATACAAGATCTTGAGCAAATATCGATGCACCTCTTGATAGAAATAAATGTTGCAATGTTATTTCCATCAAGAGCATAGACTGTAAAAAAAGATGGACGACGCCCCTTCGCTCTCTTCCATTGGTCAGAAGTGAAGCCGCCAGTGTCCGGATATGGCGCTGACATCTTAAAACTTGAGTCTGCGCAGAAGCGATCTCGGGACCAGACATGCGCAGTCGTGAGCCGGAAGTAAAGCCGCGAAATCAAGGCCCCGCCCTCACTCTCGCAGAATCAATTGCAAGCACACGCTCCGGCACTTTTTTTTATTAATTATAGAAATTTAGATATTAAATTTAAAGCTCCAATCTCCTCAGTCCTCCGAAGATCCCGAAAAAAAGTCTGTTGGTGCTTCAGTGACTGTCAATCACAGCTGTCAATCATGACGTCACCCCCACCGCATCAAACAACTAACTGAAAACAAACTTATTTTAAAAACAAACACTTGAAATTACATCAGCGTGATAAAAACTACAGTAAATGACAGAAACCATATTTGGAAAAACAATATTTGAAGTGTAATTTAATTGTTTAGTTGGTCTCACCCGTTGAATAACATGGGGAGGCGGGGTTTATGACCTATACTAGGACCGGCCACCGGAGGGCGATCGAGACGCTTTGGCTTCACTTTTCAGGGCTTGTGCGGCACGCTTGATCAAGAGGTGCATCAATTTCTGTTGCCAAACATATAACATGCTAGCCTGGGAAAACCCAGACAACTTCCGGCAAATTTAGATTTGCTCTGAAAGTTAGTTAAAGGGATACTCCACCAGTTTTTCTTATTAAACTATGTTATTCCCTTAACTAAGACGAGTTGATACATACCTCTCTCGTCTCAGTGCGTGCACTATATCGCTCTGTATTGCCGCAAAACTATGTTAGCACTTAGCTTAGCCCATGCATTAAATATGGGCCAAGCAGAGAAGCGACCAAACACTTCCACGTTTTCCCTATGTAAACACAGTTACTCGAGTAGTGTAACTTGACCTGGGCTGGTGACACAAAATAAACCGTTGCGCTTTTCTAAGCGTTTAAAATTGATGACTATATTGTATGGCGGAATACCATAACAAGTGCTTTTGAGCAGTTCGACTTGGCGCAATAATATCTTCACTAGTGAAAAGTCCTCTTACCGGCTCCCGCTTCCTCTCCCCCTCCCTCTCATTTCCGTCAATACAACCAACGTGGCTTTTACTACCTGTGCTATTAGCAAACTGCAGATCATTTGCAATGGCGGACTTTGTAGATGATTATGACTTCTTTGTAGAAGACCCAGAGCCATATCTGTTTGAACCCGAGTACACGGAGGAGGAATTAGCTCTTATGGACCGTGAGAGGAAAGAAAGATATGATCCAGAACAGACCGGAGCTGGCGAAAGACCACGGGCAAACAGCAATTGGTGGTGCAAGTGTGACTGTTGCGAACAGATGCCGACCGAAATTGAGAGCCTGTGCTGTTTAGAATGCTAACTAAGCTAACTAGCTTCCAACAACCTGTTACTTCGTCAACTCCGCTCGAACTACTACTACCGGCGCATGTCACGTTGGTTGTATTGACGGAAATGTCAGAGGGAGGGGGAGAGGAAGCGGGAGCCGGTAAGAGGACTTTTCACTAGTGAAGATATTATTGCGCCAAGTCGAACTGCTCAAAAGCACTTGTTATGGTATTCCGCCATACAATATAGTCATCAATTTTAAACGCTTAGAAAAGCGCAACGGTTTATTTTGTGTCACCAGCCCAGGTCAAGTTACACTACTCGAGTAACTGTGTTTACATAGGGAAAACGTGGAAGTGTTTGGTCGCTTCTCTGCTAGGCCCATATTTAATGCATGGGCTAAGCTAAGTGCTAACATAGTTTTGCGGCAATACAGATCGATATAGTGCACGCACTGAGACGAGAGAGGTATGTATCAACTCGTCTTAGTTAAGGGAATAACATAGTTTAATAAGAAAAACTGGTGGAGTATCCCTTTAAGAGCTCATTCAAGCCCATTCCTATCCGGCGAAATCGAGGCAACAATCAGAAACGTTGGGGCGGGCTTTACACGATGACGACAGCGCTGGGATTTTGAAGCAGATTTTGTAGCCTACATTACAAAGATGGATGCCGCCAGATCACTCGTTCGAATCAGCTATCGCGTCTGTTTTAAGCGATTTGAACGTTTCCTTTTAGTTAAAAACCGAGCAAAGAACAACACTCGGAGATGTGTCTCCACCGCTCTGCATACGTCATCTCCTTCATCGCTCTGATTGGGTTTAGCTCTATCCGCGACGTCCGTTGGTGACGCCCCTCTGGAAATGATTTGTCTATGACGCTTTGCCAGACCATAACTCAGTTACAACTGAGAATGGTCTGGTTTTAACCAGGCTAATAACATGCTAGAAACATAGTATTCACTGCAACAATGAACCAATCATAGACTCTTAAGCATTTGTCTGTTTAAATCCAAACAGCCAATTTGTTTTTGGCCGGGCAGTATATAAAGGCTTGAAGTGTTTCCAAGATATATTTTTCTAGGCCACTGATTTGATTTGACAAGTACACCTTTAGATGTCTCCAAGCATAAATCAGATTGCTAAAACTAACTGAAACTGGTCTGTTCCAGATATTCACACAGATGGAGCAATGATAGGCCGGACGGATGACCAAATCAACGACTTAAATTGTGTAATCAGACCAGAGATCATCTGAAAAAACCCAACTGAGACTAAACCACAGGAGACAAACTCCAACCAGAGTTATGAAACATGACTTTACCTTCCACTTGGACTTGGCAAAGTTTTTCTGGATCTGCTCACTGACGGAGTGGTAGATGTCCTGACTCCGGGCCGTCTTTCCTATAATCCTGCAGGTCAAAGCTGGATTTAAAACCAGAGCTAGTGGAAAACAGGAGGATTTTGTTTCCTCTTTTAACCAGACTTTAAGACAGGAAGAAGTTTAATCTAACAACTGTCGATCTCATATGTGATTTGTGGGTTTCGTTTCTCCTGCACATCAATGAGATTATACAGAGAGCAAACGGAGACTTTTAATAATATCAAGTCGAGTTGGAGATATCAATACAAACTCAACATTTCTCATCAAATTAAGAGAGAATTATCAGTGATATTGTATTACAATCATATTTAAAAAATATTTATCATTATTTTTATATTCTATTTTTTTTTATTTTCAGTTTAAGTTTTGGTAATTTTGCTATGCATGTTTTGTCATTTTTATTAGTTTTTGTGTTTTTAAATATTTCTATTTAGCTTTATTTTTTTTATTTTAGTTTATTTTTATTTATAGCTTGTTTTATTTCAGTTAGTTGCCAAGTTTAAAGGTGCTCTAAGCGATGTCATGTGTTTTTTAGGCCAAAACATTTTTTGTCACATACAGCAAACATCTCCTCACTATCCGCTGGCTGCCTGTCCCCTGAACACACTGTAAAGAAACGCGATCTCTGTAGACAGCCCATGCTTCACAAACAGCACCAAAAACAAACTGCAGCGACCCGCTCCCCAAAACATAACAAACTGTTCCAGCCAATGACCGACAAGAAGGGTTTGGGGGTGTGGTTTGGGGGGTTAGTGTGCGGATGAGGAGGAGGGAGGGTCTAGCTAGCCTCCGTTTTGTTTGACAATAGTTCGAACGTCAACAAGAAGTGACGTCACCCAGGATCGCTTAGAGAACCTTTAAGTTTTCATCTAATATACATATTTTAGTTTATTTCGGCTTTATTTCAATTTCTATAAAAACTATTTTTATAGTTTTAGTTAACAAACAACACTGATCTGCGCTATACTATCCATATTCCTTTTATAGTTCTATACTCTGTCAACAAAGGTTAAAAAAACCCCACTTATTTTTTTTTTCTGAGACATATGAGAAAAATGTATATATAAATTAAACAGCAGACATTTGTTAAAGGGATAGTTCACCCAAAAATGAAAATTGTGTCATCATTTACTATCCCTCATGTCGTTCTAAACCTGTAAGACTTGCGTTCATCTTCGAAACACAAATTAAGATATTTTCAATGAAATCTCTTCATAAAGAGATCGTAAAACAAATCCATATGAATTAAGGGGTTAAATCCAAGACTTTCTGAAGAGACATGATTGCTTTATGAACAGATTTAATTCAGGCTTGTATTTACATAAACATAGATCATCGAACATGCATTACATGTAGTGCATTCAAATTTGGTAAACAGAAGCTCGAGCCAATGAGATTCATTCTCACGCACCAAGCAAGTACGGAACGACACAAGGGTGAGTAATTGATGACAGAATTTGATTTTTTGGGGTGAACTATCCCTTTAAGGCTTTGAAAGAGCAACGTCTGAGCAATAAAAGTGTCCTGCGGTCACTCACCAGGGGTGTCTGAGAGCCTGTTCTGTGTCGTAACGCACCTTAGGATTCTTCTGCATCATGTTGCGGATGAAGTCCTTTGCTAGAGAGATAATAATTATACACATGAGGTTAATTGCTTCTAGTTACAGGTGTGTTTTACAGAATCATAAGAGAGGTTTAGATCAACCTGATAGCAGTAAGTAAAGAATGGTTGTATTATTGGATGCTCACCAGACTCAGAGATATCATCCCAGAAGGGCGAGTCGAACTCGTACTGCGCCTTCATGATTTTAGAAAACAGACGAGTCTCGGTTTCTTCGTAGAAAGGAGGATATCCACAGAGACTGTGAAGATAAAGCGAAACACTTTATATTGATGCTCCACTTTAGACATTAATAACTATAACTTTGCAACTACATGTCAACTACCAGTCATTAGAGTATTAGTACTGTCTTGTAAATTTGAAAGTACATATCAGCTTATTTTACTAACCCTAACACAAGTTTACAAATACTCTAATGAGAGTTAGTTAGGCATGTAGTTGCAAAGACACTTACAGTTAGCAGAATGTATATAGTGGACTATTGAAATAAAGTGTAACCAAATAAATGAATGAAAATGTCGATTTCCACCAGGGGGCGCCGTGTATCTAAGAGCCCTATTGTACTATGTATTCTGTGTGACCTTAAACAGCACAGATAAATGACCTCGCTCTGAATCAAACCGTTAATCTGGCAGTTTTGACAAACAGTAAGCTTTAGGTTTCCAAATTAAGAACCTGGCATCCGTTTATCACTCTCGGTAAATAACAGTGCTGTTTACAGTCCAACTCACTTGGTAGCGTGGAGTGCATTTTGTACAAAATCAGATTTCTTAGAAATTACATTTGTGCCAGGGAGGGACTTACAGGATATAGGTGATGACTCCTATAGACCAGCAGTCAACGGCTTTACTGTAGGGTTTCTGAGCCAACACTTCAGGGGCTAAGAGGAAATACAAATACATACACTTGTTTATTTTCTTGAATGTCTCTGGTTTTAGAGCACGATTCATCAGGGCACGTTATTCTAAAAAATGATGTTAATTGAAATAATGCTGCTAAAATAATGCTAAAATTCAAAATAAAAATGAGTAATACAGGACATTATACATTCAACTGTTCATGTTCAGGTCCATTAAATCCTGGCATTAAATACTGTCCATTAAATAATATTAAGTAACACTTCTAATGTTGTTCGGTCATTTTCTTTTGTTAAAACTTAATCAGAATGGTACGAAACTTTGTGACTTTTGCGGCAGTCGCTTTGTAACTACAAAAAATTAAATAAAATCATGGACATTCAAAAAAGCGAATGGTCGTAAAAAAATATATATTTGCACTTGTTTTGTTTGCGGTCAAAAAGACCGCCATAGGAAATAGGCTACAAAAATATTATTAAAGAAAAATATATTACATTGAATTTACTAAAAAAATAATAATAATCAGGTTTTCGTCACCGGTGTTCGGTTTGACCGCACACAACACAAGGTTGACTCCCAAATAAACAATATTAGATTAACAATATTATCAGGTGTATTATGTGTGATGAGTTACGGTTTCAGCCATTCCTTTGAAAATGGCTGAGGGTCGAAAGAGAAAAAATGTATACGAAGTGTATGATAGAAGAGAAAGGCCGCAGAATATAGAAACAAGACCAGAGTGATTTTGGGTGATTATTTCACACGCTGGCATGCGCTAAAAGCACAGGTTGGGATTCCCACTGATGCCGCAGTCGCGAAGATTATACTAGACAGGTAAAGTTTGTCATGCTATTTGGAGAAATCCATTTAAAGCAGCACTATGCAGGAATTCCGTTTTTGTCAAACAGCGACCCCTAGAGTCGCTGTGGAGTACTTGTACTGTCGTGAATAGCACTCACGCAGAGATGGCTCGCACTCACGGCCGGATCCCCTCCCCCTGTACACTGGTACCTGTTCAGTAGCGTGGACGCTGTAACGAGTGGAAATAAGGTGTGGCCCCTTTAAGAGCTGCGCACGCCCTGTTTAACTGTCGGCAGTCTGTATTGTATGTGCGCCTTGAACACCACATGTATATGGCGCCGGGTTATTTCTGTTTGATGCTCATTTTATCAGAATTTTATCAGATCTGTTTTTTTGCCGTAAAGCAATTCGTTACATCGCGCGACCTGATATCACACGATACTTCCTAACACTGAGGCCGGCGACCCGCCGGCTCAAAGTTGCAAGTGTGTTTTTTCCGCTCACATGCGAAACGACCACCATTCAACCCGAAAAGAGTAATATAACCATTCCAATGACTCCGAAACTGTTCGGTTGAGGTAAAAAACCTGCATAGTTCACCTTTAAAATCACTGCTAGTAAAAGTTTAATAGGCATTCCCTCTCGGGAGCAAATAGAGTGTTGCGCATGTGCATTTAAAAAAGAAAATTCTCTAAAATTCGGAAAGATCCTCCGCTATACCTTTAACAAAAGTATTTTTCATTGTTAGTTCAACTAATGCAGTTTAATAATGTTAACAAATGGAACCTTATTGCAGTGCTACCAATAAATAAAATTCATAAAAACGACTAAAATAACACTTAAAAAAAAAAAATCTTTTAAAATCAAAATATAATCAAATTAAATCACTTTTTTGCAGCGCAGTATTATAATATCAATACTATTACAGCATACTTTTCCTGATCCCAATGGATACAATCTCAAGTCTCAAAACAGTATTTATCCCTGAATGCTGTGCATCACTCAGAGAAACATCCCATTACAGAAGTGAAATATGTTGTGGATGCAGTTTCATGGTGTCTTTAGAGACAGCGAATCAAAACCAGCTGCCTTTTGTGCTTTGACATTCACTGGCCGTCTCACCGACATATCCGGGAGTCCCACAGGCCGTGGACATGACACCATGCTCTTCCATCTTAGAGAGGCCGAAATCACTGATCATGATCTTTGAGTTTTCATCAGAGCTGTAGTAGAGCAGATTCTCTGGCTAAAGAGAGAACACAGGCTCAAAGTCTTTATCTGCATATATGTACAGTATATTCATTTCTACGCAGGTGTGTGTGTGTGAATGTGGCCGTCTCTGTACCTTGAGATCGCGGTGTACGACGCCGTTTTTGTGCAGGTAGCCGACTGCCTCCAGGACCTGTTTGATAACCTGACTAGCATCCAACTCTGAGTACATGCCCCGGTCCAGGATCCGGTCAAACAGCTCGCCACCTGAAACTCTGACGGCATACGAGACATTTAACGACATGCTGTAAACACACAGAGAGCTCTGCATGGCTTCAGTGGGGGATAATGCTTACAGCTGCATGAGCAGGTAGTAATGCGTCTGACTCTCATAGAAATCCTCCAAGCAAACCACATTGTCGTGTTTGATCCTATAGACAAAAAAATTAACAAGTTAGTATAAGGAAATACAGTTATGCTGTTTTAAAATCAGATAAATGTTGTTTTAAATGCATTTACAATAGGCTATATAAGCTTATTTAGACCATGGAATAAAATGATAAAGAAAGGTCATTTTAACTTTTTATCTCAAATTTCTTCAAACTTTTTTCTCACAATTAACGAGTTTATAATTCACAATTTCACAAAAAGACAGAAAAAGATATAAACTCGCAATTGCGAGAATAAACGTGTTTTTTTTTTTGGCCTTTTATTCTCAGAATCCCACAAGTGCAAGTTATAAAACCCAAATTATAAGATATAAGCGTGTTTATATCGCAATTCAGACTTTTATTTTCAGAAATGTGAGTTTATATCCCTCAATTGCAAAAAGTTAGAATTGTGATCTCGCAATTCAGACTTTATAACTTGCAATTGCGAGTTTTTATCTCAAAATTCGGTGAAAAAATAGTCTAAATCGTGTGATATAAACTCACAATTTTGAGTTATAAAGTCCAAGTTGCGAGACATAAACTCGCAATTGAGACATTTTTTTTTATTCCGTGGCGGAAACGAGCTTCCATAATATCAATGTCCTAAGTTGGGTTTGAATTTCTAATGTAGTTTCAATTTCAATTTCATTGCATAGCTAAAAGCTAGAGCTGGTTTCATTCTTACATGCGCAACACGGCGATTTCATTCTCCAGGTTGATGTCCCTTTTGTTTTTCTTCTTCACACACTTCATAGCAAAAAGCTTGCCTGTTTTTCTCTCCTTCACCATGAAGACTTCTGAGAACGCTCCCCTAGAGAAAGCAAAGAGAGAAAGATGGGGGTAAGGTCAAATGTGCAATTGCCTGGGATGATGTTTTTCTGAGCGAGAGCATGATCTTGGTTTATGTGTTGCCGGTGTAACACGTCCCCCTGAGAGTAAAACAGGTTTTAATGAAGGCGAGGATGTGACTTTTTAACCCCTGCGAGACACACTGCATCCATTTAATAACAGCTAGAAATGTGAAAGAGGCCAGGGCTCTGGCGAGATCTGCTATGAAGCAATAACTATTATTGCAATTGATTTTATAATATAGGTAAACACATATCAATTTGCTAAATGTCTGGACAATAAAACAAGTGAAAAATGCCTAGCAACACCCTAGAAACCATTCTGAACATCTTAGCAACACCTGAGAAACCAATCAGAGCACAGAATCAGACATAGTGCAATATTTTTTTTTCTGAATTTACAAACTAATTGCGTAACCGGATAGTTTAAACAATCAGTAAAATATGGTTGGCTGGTTGTAGGAGCTTTGGAAGATCACCTAAAGCACTTAATTTCCTTTTCTCCATGCCCTCCTCAGAAGTAACCTGGAATAGCTGCCCTGGGACGAGGATTACATGTGCAATCCCTTACGCAACGGAAACGCTAATGGCCTGGTATCCAGGAGCCTCGACAAACACAGGCCTGCAACCAGGGCGCCTGGCACTGCCTCCGACGGAAAGAGGATGGGTTACAATTAGCATGAGATCGGTTGAACAAGACAGGCTATAAAGAACAGCTGCTGAGATTACGCATCACTGCTTTATCTGCTGCATTATTCATGTAATACTCTAATCATCACTGTTTAACTCTTTCCCGGCCAGCATTTTTAAAAAAAGTTGCCAGCCATTTTTGTGTTGCTTCATTTAAGAAAAATTTACCAGAGAAGTAAAACTGTATAAGATATTAAAGTCACCAAGAAATGGACAATTCTTATTTTTTATGGAATATTGCAGTATTTATCATAAACGATTTATCCGTGCACATCATTATTATTATTTTTAAATTCATGTGCCTAGTAATCTTTAATCAAAATAACTTCCCCTCCCTCTTTCAGCGACATCTCTTCTCTTCTCTGATGATGAGGGCGAGGCAACCTGTCACTCACATGAGATCCACCAATAGCAAACCAATCAATTCACCACGGACAAAATCAAGCCCCACCCTACATTTGTTCTTGTTCAAGAAGCCGTTTCATTTGGACATACTGTACGTCACATAGAGAAGAAAAGACGATCACAGCTTCCGTTTCATGTCGACTTTAAGATTTCTCAAAGAATATTTCAAAAACCTTAAGAGAATATATATCTTAAAAAATAACTCCGTTATTTGAGTGTAAATCTCACTAAATGTATTATTATTACAATATTTTAATAACATTTACTACTTAAAAAAGTTTGAAACTTAATATAATTGTTTTTAAATGTAGGTATTTATTTTTGATATAGCTGAATTCGTAATGCTTAAATCACGCCTGAAGTGCTACATCACACAATCTCGTCCTCCCACACACACACACACACGGAGCGTCACCAAAACAAGCGTCTCCTGACACTGCCAGCGTCTATCACATATTCCCACAACACCTTTTCCTGCATTGAATGCAAGAGCTGAGAGATGTGTGTTAACCTTCACCTACGGTCAGGAGTGTATAATCCTTTAGAAAGTCCTGAATTCATTAAATACTGAGGATTTCAATGAAACGCATGACTAAATAAATAATTAAAAACTAAATACAGCTTAAACTGAAGGTCAGTGCAGAGAATGTGCCCAGAGGCAGAGAAAACTGCTAATGAAATACATAGAAATATGATTTTTCATCATAGATTCTCTGGATCAAGCCAATTTTAGATGTCGTACTTCATCCTGATGGGTGTTAACTCCGGTGGAAGCCTGCTGAGGGATTGTGGGAGTTTAATTCGGGTTGTTTTTGTCAGAGGAAACCACTGTGCTCAACTCCCCACGGCCCATAATGCACCAGTGGTGCCAGTAACACCCACAGGCAAGGGCAGGTCGTGACAGAGCTCTAGACATAGCAGTTTATGCTTGAAATTATAGCTGAAACTACATATCTCACTTTATGATCTGTATGGACTGTAAAACAAAAAGAAAACACAAAAAAACATGAACTGAAGTACACTCTAAACAATGCTGGGTTGTTTTAACCCAAATTTGGGTCAAATATGGACAAACCCAAATGTTGGGTTAAAAATATAATTTAAAATTTTAACCCAACTTCAACTTTCACTTTCACCTGTAAATTTTTTAATTACATTTTAACCCAACATTTGGGTTTGTCCATATTTGACCCAAATTTGGGTTGAAACAACCCAGCATTTTTTAGAGTGTGATATATAGTATATACACTCACCTAAAGGATTATTAGGAACACCTGTTCAATTTCTCATTCATGCAATTATCTAATCAACCAATCACATGGCAGTTGCTTCAATGCATTTAGGGGTGTGGTCCTGGTCAAGACAATCTCCTGAACTCCAAACTGAATGTCAGAATGGGAAAGAAAGGTGATTTAAGCAATTTTGAGCGTGGCATGGTTGTTGGTGCCAGACGGGCCGGTCTGAGTATTTCACAATCTGCTCAGTTACTGGGATTTTCACGCACAACCATTTCTAGGGTTTACAAAGAATGGTGTGAAAAGGGAAAAACATCCAGTATGCGGCAGTCCTGTGGGCGAAAATGCCTTGTTGATGCTAGAGGACAGAGGAGAATGGGCCGACTGATTCAAGCTGATAGAAGAGCAACTTTGACTGAAATAACCACTCGTTACAACCGAAGTATGCAGCAAAGCATTTGTGAAGCCACAACACGCACAACCTTGAGGCGGATGGGCTACAACAGCAGAAGACCCCACCGGGTACCACTCATCTCCACTACAAATAGGAAAAAGAGGCTACAATTTGCAAGAGCTCACCAAAATTGGACAGTTGAAGACTGGAAAAATGTTGCCTGGTCTGATGAGTCTCGATTTCTGTTGAGACATTCAGATGTTAGAGTCAGAATTTGGCGTAAACAGAATGAGAACATGGATCCATCATGCCTTGTTACCACTGTGCAGGCTGGTGGTGGTGGTGTAATGGTGTGGGGGATGTTTTCTAGGCACACTTCAGGCCCCTTAGTGCCAACTGGGCATCGTTTAAATGCCACGGCCTACCTGAGCATTGTTTCTGACCATGTCCATCCCTTTATGGCCACCATGTACCTGATGGCTACTTCCAGCAGGATAATGCACCATGTCACAAAGCTCGAATCATTTCAAATTGGTTTCTTGAACATGACAATGAGTTCACTGTACTAAAATGGCCCCCACAGTCACCAGATCTCAACCCAATAGAGCATCTTTGGGATGTGGTGGAACGGGAGCTTCGTGCCCTGGATGTGCATCCCACAAATCTCCATCAACTGCAAGATGCTATCCTATCAATATGGGCCAACATTTCTAAAGAATGCTTTCAGCACCTTGTTGAATCAATGCCACGTAGAATTAAGGCAGTTCTGAAGGCGAAAGGGGGTCAAACACAGTATCAGTATGGTGTTCCTAATAATCCTTTAGGTGAGTGTATATATGAATGTAAACTTATTTAATTGCCATGGTAACATTCCCCATTTTCATTTAGTTTAACTTGATGTACAAAAACCCCCTGAAACAAAATCCCTAAAACTTTAAATGAAATTAAAATAAAAATGGAAAATAGAAATAGAAAATCTAATTCAAAATTATTATAAAAACTATAATACTATTTCGATACTAAAATAACACTTTGGTCTCAAAACACAGAGGCAAAATTCTCCATTTTAAAAGAAAACAGTAACAACAAAATTAAGTGGAGAGCCAGAGATTTTGGGCTATTTGTCTTTTCATTGCATGTTTTCTTTTGTTTATTTTATTGCACTTTATCTGTTTGCATCTGTAGATTTTAGGGATGTGCCGATACACTTGGCTCATGAGACGAGACGAAACAATGAGTTCACGAGACAATATTTTAACACTTTAAAAATCCTCAATGACAAAATATATGAACTGTCTTTTATTCGTCTGAAAGTCACAAAATGCAAAACAATGCAGGTGCATTTTAAAACATTTTGACGGCTGTGACATGATTATTTTGGTAATCGAGTCGATTATTTTGACGATTCTGATCTGGAAATGTATGCAAATTAGAGCTTATTTAATTAGATAATGCCTCAACAACATTTCAGATAACGTGTAATACAAAAATGTTTGCAATTCTTACTGTAATTGCATTAAGTAGTGAAAATTACTAGATACATTTTTACCCTATTGTTTGGCCTTAATCAATGAAAATAATCCAGCATTAATAATTTACATGGAAATCGTCATCTGCGTAATAGACGGCACATTGCAGGCCATGCCCGGTAGATTATCGCAAAGCTGTTTCCATCCCGTTAGCTGTTCCCTGGTGCCTGTGATCCCTGTTATTCCCTGTCTGCCAAAGCGATTAACACACACCGGTCTAGAAGTGTCTTAACCTGTGCTTTACCCTTGAATCACATCCAGACTCCACTGAATAAATCTCACACCCTCAACATGCAACATCAGCCAATCAAATGCACACTTTTGGATCACACTGTATCTGATTATTTAGTTAAAGACTTCGGTGAAACATGGAAACGAACGTCCCAAATAATGTTTGTGACGCTTGCACTGATCTCATAGTGTCTGTCTTCAGGGACGCAACATTATTCTGCTTAGTGATCGCTGGACAGTCAGCAAAGGCGATGTGCAGCTGCTCGTGTCTGCTGAGCTCAAGCTTTCTGCGCCCGCAATGACACAACCGGTTCAGGACAACAGGGCCGGATCATTGCTGTCTGCTTTACAGGCTGAGAACCATTAAAGGTGCAATATGTAAGATTTTTGTAATAAAATTGTTAAAAGATCACTTGCACAGTGTGATATGTTTCCTGCAGGTGTGTACTTACAATACCCCAAAAGTTTCCAAAGGTTTTTAATTTCAGAGAAATTCTAATTTTAAATAATGGCTCGTCCATGTTCACTTGTCGCCTGTCAATGACGTAATATCCGCGTTATCCCTGGTTTCCGCTCGTACTGCCATAGTAACCATGGCGACAGACGTGGACAACTGCGTTACGTTTAGCGGCACGCTCACGCTATTGTTGTTTCGTTCAAACATTTTGGACCATGGCAAGCAGACTTTGGGACAAAAGGAGAAATAAAACGAGGATCAATATCGGCTGCTAGTCTCATACAGCCAACAAACTAACACGAATAACATTATAACTTTCAACACACTCAAATGCAGTTTAATTCGTCAAATAAACTGACCTGTGTGAGTAATTCAGCACTTGCGGGTAGTTCGGTAGAATGAAATGTCCTTATTCCTTTATATGTGCGCTTGTGGCGCTGATATCTGTCTCTCATTAGCAATCGTGCCATGCTTAATACCAGTCACGTTAAAAACATCAATGTATTTACTCATCCATAAGCATTATCAGATCCATCGCCATGACGACAAGTTCCATAATTCCGCTTATGCGTCATCAACCTACGCCTTTGTTATTGTAAGAGGTTAGCGACCCCTAGCTGCAATTTTTTTTTTCACATATTGTAGCTTTAAGTGGATCAGATGGGATAATTGATATGAAGATTTAAAGGTTATTCACAATCTAAATAATAAATATTTTTTTCTCAAGATTAAGTATCAAGTGTCTACAAAATAAAGTTTTTAAACAGGATTCCTGAATATTTCTCCCATCTGCTATTGGCTGGTCAAACAGAGTCCCGCCCCCAAACTCATGCAATTGGTTGAGTGAAATGATTAAACAAACAGAGCAATGTTATAATCACCATACTATGTAACACTTTACAATGAGGTTCGGTTTGTTAACATTAGTTAATATGAACCAACAACGACACACTTACTTAAACATTGATGAAATCAAACACTGTATCTGCTAATATTATTTAATACAGCTGAACTAACAATGTATTTTATTAACATTAACAAAGATGAATAAATACTGTAACAAATATATTGCGCATTGTTAGTTATTGTAGGTAAATGCGTTAAGCAACGTTAGCTAATGGGACCTTTTTGTAAAATGTTACCCAATAGTGTTTACCCGATTTAAACTATGAAGGTTTACTTGGTTCTGAATATTAAACTAGGATAAAATAAAGTATTTAATGCAAAGAAAGTTACATACATTCAATTAAAGTCCCCTTGTAGTCAATAATTTTATCCCTTAAAACTCATATTTCATCATCAAAATGACATATTTAAATATTTTTTTCCTGTGAAAACTATTCTTCATGCCTTAAAGTAGCTTGAATGTAACTCTACACCCTTGCTTCATTTAGTATACACGTGAATATGCAAATGAGCCCCGCCTCCACTCACTCACACCAGCTCAGAATACCTGATCCACTCGCTCAACTTTACTATGGTAAACGCTACACAATGGCAAGTGGAAATGCTGGTTTAATTCAGCCATATATGTTTGAAGCAGAAACTGATTGAGAAGAAGAAGTGGAAGAGTGAATTACAGGCTCGTCTACAAGTCCATGATTCAGAACGGTAATGCGTTTTATGTATCGCTCTCCACAACGTCGGACACATAATGATAATTGATATGATTAGCTTTTATTAAACAGCTAATAATGTGTAGCTAAAATGTTACACAAACCATGTTACAGTTCGCATCTCAGAATCAAACAACTACCTCTAACAATCAGCGCTCTTATGAACATCACAGAACGTCAGTGGAGAAAGGCATAGCTCATCATAACATCGTATACATCATATATATAATTCACCCCCTATATTGCTAAATGCACCTGATTTTTCATGTTAACAGAAACATTTTGTGGGATAACCTGAGAACAACTGCGATTTCAAACCGTGTTTTTGAGACTGTCTTTGGTTCACTGCAGTTTTAAGGAGAAAATACTCAGCAATGGTGTTGACTTAGTTTGTCTAAAAGCATATTAAAAACACCACATAGACAAACAACATTAAAAACTAGATTTTTTACCACAGGGGGTCTTTAAGTCAATTTTCTTTAATCAAAGAAAATCCAAATAAAAGGCTTAAAATGTAAAGACACAGTTAAAGCTGAAGCTCCTGAGGTTTTTCTGAGGGAATCACTAATCTCACAAATGCCGAGCCTTGAATTACCCACACGGTGAAGTTGGGTAAACAATCTGGGTCAATCCTTTACCGGACACTTTGGGTGAGGAAAATCAGCTTTCTGGAAAATGTCTCTAACATATTTAAAATACTCAGGAAACTATACAAACTTTGAAGTTTTTAAAATAAAAAAAAATTGATATAATGTGCATGATAATACTTTTTAGCACACTTACACTTTTTAAAATCTAAAAATCAGCTGCATGTAGGAAGTAAATACTTCATTAAAATAAAATGCCACTTGAGACATAAATACTGTCAGTATAAATTTACCACCAAAATGAAATATCCTACTGAAAAAATGATGTTTATAAAACCATTCACAACTTTTACAATGAATTATAAGAGGACCTAAAGTTGTACTTACGATCCGAGCACCTCCATGAATTCAAACACATCCTGGATGTTATCCGTGCTCTTTTTCCAATCATAGTCGCCCTCCTTTCGCCCCATTTCTGTGTGAGCTTCTACAGGGATTTCTGAAGAGGATAAAAAAAAAGAAGAAACCTCGTTATAAAGTGACCAACGTCTGTGATCTGTGACAATCTGTTATGAAAAAAAGTGAGCAATAAATCAATGGTTTTTGAATGTACCTTTATTCGCAGCCAAATCCCTAATAATCCCTAACAGTCCGGGAGCCATGAGGCCTGATTCCTAATATAAATCCAATTAGAATTCCAAATCAAGATGAAATATCAAAAACTCTTTTGCATCCTTTAAGGTTCCAGGTGCAAAGCAGAAACCAGCGCAAGTCAGCTCATTTTCCAGCTACTGACGGACAGTCGATGGCTTCACTCTTGAAGTGTGTTCATCTACTGTAACAGCTTTAGTTTTAGTGTCACTGACCTGCGCCGAACTCTTTAAAAACTCCACAGCTCCTCATGGGCTGTCCTACATAAGACGGCTGTCAGAAAACACTAATCAGGTTTTGGCTGGTCATTGTATACAGACAGGTAGATGTGCGTCTTAATGCTTATGTTTTTTTTTGTTTTGTTTGAGTTTGAATTTGAGTTTAGGTGACTTATGAGATTCTTTTGGCAATTTCTAAGAAATATCTATAAATAAATCTGGTTGTTTTAACTGGATTGTATTTGGAGAAGGTGGATTTTGTCTAAACTCAACCCGATCACACTAAATGCGTCTCTATAGCACGCAGTGTTTATCGTGTAATTTATACGCGAAAATGAGTTTTTACGTGCACAGGATACGCATGGGTTGGTTAGGGTAGGTTTAGTAGTGGTGTGGGGTGCGTGTGTATTACACGCAAATGAACTGCGTATCAAATGCAAGCGAAAACTGCGTATCATATGCACGTAAAAACTCATTTTCGCGGTGTCCACATGCCTCTAAAAATAATTGGATGTATTTGATAAAGTCATCATCTTCAACAAAACGCATGTATTACGAACTCAAGCCCATCAACTGCACACAAAGACAGCAGAAATTGCTCATTTACACCATGTCTATTGTGTTTATTTTAAGGTAAAATAAACACAATATTTCTTATTTCTCCATAATTGGTGTTCAAACATACATGCAATCCAATAAATTTGTCATTTCTAACATATAAAGACTTCTCTGGGATTAGCAGTAGTTCTGGTAAGTTCTGGAAAGCTTTGCTCTCATTCCACTTATATAACGGGTTAAAGGCTCTGATCTTCTGAGTCGACCTTAAAACAATTACCTCCCAGATGAGTCCATGAGGTCACTTGCCATTTATAGCTTCAATAGCCAAAAATATAATTTGCCTCCAAGAGTGACATTAAGAACAATAAGGTGAAAAAACTCTAGTAGAACCAGTAATAGACCAAGAGAACAAATAACATCCAATTAAGAGGCAAGAATGGACTGCAGGTCTAAAAAAAAAAAACACACCATGGTTGCATGCAGTCATTACCGTCATGTCATAACGAACAATAGCTATATATGGTTAAAACATAAGGAATATGACCATCCATGTTAAACTGCAGATTCATAAAAATAAATTATTAATTTAAAAAATAAATGCCACATATATTAATAATTAAAATTACAAACGTTTAAATGAAGACAAATATTTAAAATATTAAATTCATTTAATTAATAAATTAATTAATAATAAATTAAAATGAAATAAAATTTTATGAAATGCACATTCATTTAAGAAAACAAATAAATGTTTGAAATGAAAAATATTTTTTTTTATTTCTTGACTTTTTTCAAAAGGTTCAAAACAAACAGTACCAATCACAGTATTCATTTTAGTATCATAAATTAAAATGCATCTCGCAATGCACAACATTGCAAAATAATAAAACAAGAAGAACATCGATTTCTGCACGTGGCTTTGTCTTTCCTCTGCAGCCTCTCTAATGTTCAAGGAATCTGTGTGGACTAACACTCAGCGCACGAGACAGCATACACATAAACACGCAGCTCATCACGGGTCATTAAAAACATGCACGGGGCGCGTGTCCTGGTGCAAGGTGTCCCATACAGTGACTGACGATCATATCGCATAATTCAAAGTCTTAATCTAGATCGTACTGTACTCACGTGCACATTTAAGCCACACGCATGCGATCCATTAATCATCTTTCACAATATGCATTCTGATGCTGCCTGCATGCATAAGCAGAGGTGATTATTTTACAAAGAGCCAGTTTTTGACCTTACCTTCAGGTCTGTAACTCCAGCAGGATTTTTGTCTCTTGCAGAAACTATCGAAGCTCAAGCAAGGACAGCATTGACAAAGAAAGAGCGTCGAGGAGAGAGGTTGATGCGAAACGGACATTTGCAACGCGCCCGAAATGCAATGATGCACATTTATGCAATTAGTAGCTACAGTTTGCAAAAATCTTTCATACGCAACATCATCATATGAAAAACGAGCATTTAAATTTTGCAAACCACTCAGTCAGAAGTTAATTTCTTAAGCAATTGTTGCGCGCACTCGAGCAATAAAACTGTCATATAAAATCGTCTATTTAAAAAAAAAAAACACTTTACATTACAATGTCCATATTGCATACAAATATAATGGATTAGAGGCTAATAAATAATTGCACATAACATGAACACTGTAATTTAAAGTGTGACCTGTTTTTGCAGCATCCTCGTTTTGTCTCTGTTAATAGGACAGGAATCGGGTTTACTCGGGACAGCGTCCCTTCCTTTGACTTACCTAGAGAGGCAAGTGCGCAAAAGATGCCCTGCTCTGACTCTCCTGCCAAAAGCCCGCTGCAGTCTGGACAGATTAAACCCGTCGGGAGGAGCACATAACCAACAGGTTGAGATTACATGAGCTGTCAATGAAGGAGGAGCGGCCAGCGAGATTCTCAAGGTCTTTTTACTGACTGTCTGTACATGTGACACACACACACACACACAAAACAAAACAAAACATTCACAAACAAAGCATTTTGAAAAACCCCCACAAAAAAACAAATCAACTTTACTTGAAGGCTGTTGGTAGATTTTAAAACTGACCACGGGTGAATGACCATTAACAAACACTTTAGATCCTATCCTCATATTCAGGGCTTGACAAACTGAGAACTGATGGCGGCTTTATGTGCCACACTTTGGGTGTGAGCACTAAATCTGCGGGAATGAGTCAAAATATGCGCAATACGAGCATTCCCATGCTGAAATTCAAGCCCTGTAGCAGCAACTAGGCTATATTCATCTGGAGCAAATGAAACGAGTGAGTGAGGAGAGGCGGGTTTGTGTGTAACTCGCTGTCGGAGAGATGAGAGAGAGAAAGCTCATCTGGTGTCGTGTGTATTCTGTGGGAAATGAGTATTGGAAGCGTTTCAGATATTTCAGTATCGATAGGCCTATGTGTAAAAACAATATCTATATTTCTGACAACACTACATTGCACTTAGTTTATTATTTCAGTTGCCTTTTTAAAAGACTACAATTGTAAAATGTATATATAAAATTTAACCCACCAAAGTGGCTGTGTTAGGCCGGATTCACATATATAGCGCCTAAAAACGCGTAGAAAACGCTGGGCGCGCCGCATTCTCCTTTTTCCAAAGCGCTAGGGCGGTTGCGCTCCGGTTGGTTCTTGTCACGTGAACTACTGTGCGCTTGCGGCATTCTGAAAAGTTGAGATGTTTTTATCTCGATGCGGCGCGGACGCGCTTTGAAAAAACGAGCGCGTCGCTTCCATTATGAGCGCGCATACCGCGCGCCTAGATTTGAAATAACGAACTTGAGCGCGCAAAAGACGCGATATGTGAGCAGGCCCTTACACGTCACTGCTGATACACCCGCATTTGGTGGGTTGGTTAATGTCAATCTCTGCTAGGCTTCTATGAATCAATGGGAGAAAGTGCAATACGCAATATGGCGGAATAAGTATCGCTGTCTAAATAAAAGAGTCAATTGCTAATTGGTAGACAGTGGTCTTTAATGTTCTTGCATGTCCAGTCATAAGAGAACTAAAATTCGCTTGGTTTGAGATTTACCCAAGCCTATTAAAGGAGGAAGTGTCACACTGTGTTTTAAGGGATTATCCTGACTGGCCCAACAGGTCGCATGCAATAATCTCTCCTTGAGCTCACCGTACACTCTGATGCGGCCCTTACAAGTGACCTAAACTAGAGAAAACTAAAACACTTGAATGGTCCTTTTTCTTTTGGTGTGAAATGTGACCTGGACTGGACATGTTTTTTGGTGACATTCACATGCATTCGGGTTAGCAATAAAGCCAAGTTATAGGTTGGTAAAACAAGACATTTAACCTTGACTGAACCTACAGTAATAAACAAGTGTCCTGCACTTATATTGTGCATCTTATTGAGGAGAATCATGCAGTCCACATTCTTTTATTGGACTTGAATTTCATGTGGTGGAGGTGAACAAATTTCCCAGTCCTGAGCCATATAGAGACCAGATTTGTTCCAGATTTGTGACCAGACACAATGGCAATGTGCTGAATACAGTTCCACTCAGAACACCTTCGCAACCATATAGCAATGTAATGGCAATGGCGAGTTTTACACATGCAAACACCACTCTCATTTTCAGAAACTACAAAAATCAAGTTTGGTTGATTGTCAGATAATGTTTTAAGTGCCATTTCCACCATGTTTTCATGGCAAAGTCCCTGCAAGTCATTTGACTCGGCGGCCATCTTTGAAACGTCTCTCGGCATATTTCAGTCACGCATGCAGCTCTTATCTCTTTGAATGGGGAAACATCAAATTATCTAAAACTGTTTGCCAAGCTTATGATTAAATTTCACATTTGAATGAAATCTGACTATAACTGTCTCAAAAATCTTGTTTCTAAACACTCAAATCATGTTTAAAAAATATGCATTTTTTAAGCTGGAGCAGAACACGACGGCAGCTGCGGTGACGCCATGACATAAAAATATTAATATAATTTATAGAATTTGATATAAATATAATTTTGTTTACTTTTTGTTTTTACATTTTGAATGAATATATATATATATATATATATATATATATATATATATATAATACATTCAAGTTAAAATACATAAAAATATTTGTATATTATTATGAGGGGCCGTACAACCCAAAATCCATTCTTCTAGGGCGGCCTACTGTCACACTTATACATTCTCCTTTCATATACATGCATTTCTACTCTCACACACATACATTCTCCTTTTTTTTTACCTTTATTTAACCAGGTGAGTCTTATTTAGATTAAAATCTCTTTTACAAGAGAGACCTGGCCAAGATGCAGCATAAAAGAACATAAAGAAAGTTTCCAACATATAAAAAGACATCAAGTACACATACATATATAACACAAGACCCTTTGCTGAATAAGGCATAATACAACTTTATAAACAGTAACACTGACCAATGTTCACCTGCTCCACAGAGTTGAAACGAACTGTCTATAAGAAATAAAGGTAGTCAGTTTCAACGATTTCTGAAGAAGTTTCCAAGCAGAAGGTGCTGCAAACATAAAAGGCTTTTTTACCTAATTCTGTTTTGACACGGGGTACCAACAAGTGTAGGACGTCCTTTGAACGTAATCCATAATGGCCGTGAGTAGGCTACTTGTTAAAAAGATACTCAGTTAAGTAGGAGCTAGAAGTGCCTTATAAATGAAACATAGCCAATGAGTGTACCTTCTTGCATAAAGAGAGGGCCATTTAGCTTTATAGTAAAGGATACAATGATGTGTCCTATATTACAACCATTGAAAAAACGCAATGCACAATGATACACAACATCCAGTTTCTTTAAACATTGGGCAGAAGCATTCATATACAGTATATCAGATCACCATAATCTAAAATGGGAAGAAAAGTGGCCATCACCAGGTATTCTCTAGAGCGAATGGATAAGCATGATTTTGATCTGTAGAGAAAGCCAAGCTTTATATTCAGCTTAGAAACAAGATTGCTAACATGGGTTCTGAAACACAGTTTACAATCAATGATTATACCCAAATATTTACAACTGTCAACTACTAACTCAATTTAATTTCCTTCAGAAGTTGAGATGCTTGAAGAAGAAACTGGAAGTTGTCTTGAGTTTGTGAATACCATTACTTTGGACTTTTCTACATTTAAGACCAACTTAAGCTGTTTTAAACGCTTCTGAACAGTATTGAAAGCAGACTGCAAAAGATCAAGGGCTAGTGCAGTAGATGATGCAGTACAGTAAATAACAGTTTCATCAGCATAAAAATGATACATAGCATTCGATAGATTATCACAAAGTTTGTTTATATAAATTGAGAATAATATGGGCCCTAGTACTGAGCCTTGAGGAACCCCCTTGGAAATAGGCAAAAAGGAAGAGAAAGAGCCGGCCATCTGAACACTTTGGGTTCTACCTGACAGATAATTTTGCAAACCAATCTACTGAAAGCTTAGACAGAGCAATGCTCACTAGACTATTCACAAGAATGCAGTGATCCACTGTATCAAAAGCTTTTGAAAGATCTAAACAGTGCAGCACATATTTTCCTATTATCCAGTGCCCCAACAATATCATTTATCACTTTCAATGCTGCAGATATGGTGCTATGTTGTTTCCTAAACCCAGATTGAAAATGGGATAAGATATCATTTGTATTTAAAAATTCCTTTAGCTGCTCACCAACCAAGCGTTCAAGGAGCTTGGCTAAAATACACAGCTTGGAAATAGGCCTATAGTTATTTAAAATAGAGGGATCGGGGTGATTAGTAATGGTGTAACATGGGCTGACTTCCATACTTTAGGGATGTCATTTTCAACAATTGTTAAATTAAAGATATAAGATAAAGGCTCTGCAATTAAGTCAGCTGCTAACTTTAGAAAGAAGGGATCTAAATTATCAGGACCAGCAGACTTTTTTGTGTCTAGTTCCTGAAGAAGAAGAAGAAGAAAAAAAATTCTACTCTCACACTATACATTCTGCTTTCACAAAAAAAATATATGTAGCCTGGCAATGTAAGAGAATAATGTATATGTGTGAGAGAGAGTATAGTGGAAACGGAAGGCAGGTCTGGTCAAGCCAGCCGCGGTTTGAAAATAAAAAAATACACGGTCAAGCTAGCCGTAAAAAAAATGGGTGTGCGCCTATTACTATGACTACGGTAAATTCGGGAACAGCAGCGGGATAACTTTTTATTTATTAGGCGGATGTTTGCGGCCGCGCTGTCGGATGTCGTGCGGAGATCGCGTTTACAGTTATAAAGTTCAAGCAACACTAAGTAAGATTTTTTACCTTAAAATAATGTTTTCAAAATCGTTTCAGTGGTTCGTCAAGTCGTGACATGGTGAAATGCACTTATGCCACCGCTTTGCGGTACTTTATCTGATATATTCACGCTATGTAAGATTGCCAGATCGGGTCGCGTTTCTGTAGTCCGAATGAAACTACAAATTTGACTTGCTTTACGGCAAGCGTTACAATTGCCAATAGGTGGAGCGTACTGGACAGTAGACTACAACTACATGTAAGATACCTATAGTAGCCGGGTAGCTTTTGAATTGTCATCATGATTCCAAAGCCGGTGCTGGATAAACAGAGCATGTGCGTGTGTGCGACAGTAGGATGCGGTAGGCTAAATTATTTACGACAGCGGTAATGGACAATTCCGCTTCCAACCTGTAGGGCGACCGCAGAGGAAAAGTTACTTGGTGTTGCTTTAAATAGCTACGTAAAGTGCTTGTAGAGTTGGTGTATGTTAATAGAGCTTTATAGTCTGATTACTGAAATGTTAATGTCAGTAGGCCTATTGTTTTATTTGGTGGAACACACAGTTTCATTTTCTGTGCCCATACAGTAGATAAATGTGTAATGCGAGTTAATTGAAAGAGCGTTTCACTTTTTGACATGAAGAAGTCACACTGCCAGCTATTTCAACACTGTGAAACAAAAAAATAATGTATTATTGTCTTTGTTGAATTTGCAGATTGTAGGCTACAGTGTGTGACAGAAATAAAAATGATATGTGCCATTAGAAAAACAGCCTCTTCTGTGTGTGCAACAGGACATAACTGTTCTCAGACCTGATTCTTTTTTTTTCTTCAGGAACTAGACACAAAAAAGTCTGCTGGTCCTGATAATTTATATCCCTTCTTTCTAAAGGATTCATAAGCAGTCCGTACTACATTTAGACATCCATATAAGGACTCCAATGTATTTACTGCTGCTCTATTTCTTGAATCCTCAACAAATCTTGAGACTGTCAGAAATCCACATAGGGTTTGAATGTGATAAAGTTCTCAATGCAGCCTATCATGCACAAAATAATCTTCTCTTTGCATTTGCTCAATACATTCCAGCACATTATTAACAAATTGTCTGATTTCATGTTCATCGCTACTTACTCCAAAAAATAACAACTGTACTTGAAAAGAAAACAGGATTGTTTAAAGCTGCTTAAAGAGGAAGTAATGGATACAAAAAAAAAAAAACTATATATATATATATATATATCAGAGGTGGAAAGAGTAATAAAATATTCTACTCAAGCAAAAGCACTACTACTTCAATGAAATTGTACAAGTAAAATTACCAATCTAAAAGGAGAATGTATGTGTGTGAGAGTAGAAATGTATGTATGTGAAAGGAGAATGTATGTGTGTGAGAGTAGAAATGAAAGGAGTATGTAGGTGTGTGTGACAGTAGAAATGAAAGGAGAATGTAGGTGTGTGTGACAGTAGAAATGAAAGGAGTATGTAGGTGTGTGTGACAGTAGAAATCAAAGGAGAACGTAGGTGTGTGTGACAGTAGAAATGAAAGGAGAATGTAGGTGTGTGAGAGTAGAAATGTATGTGAAAGGAGAATTTCTACACACCTACTGATTTTTTATTTTAGAAGAAAAATATTTCTCGAGACAATTATGTATGTTTTCTTGACCAATTCTCATTATTTTTATGCAAAAATAAATAAAAACAGAAAATCTTATAAATGCAAAAAAATTTATATTATTTAAAATGTAATATATTTTGAACTTTAAGGTATTATTTATATAAACAAATATACATTTTATTAATATCATAACAGCAACAAATGTAAAAATAAAACAGTAACATTTACATGATTATTAAAAATCTAGATTTTGAATCTGATTATTTATTTGAAATGTAATCAAAACTATTAAAGGTTTTAATATTTTAATTTGAAAAGTTGTAAAATTTAAATATTTATATATATCAAATTTCATTGTAAAAATGTTTGTTTTATAAGCAAATTCAAAACTATTTGTCGAAAACCATTTCAAGCATTTAAGCAAAAGCCTTTATATCAAAAGGTTTTTACAACCATGTGAAACAAATTCGGTCGAATGTGTCCAAACTTCTGCCTGGCACAGAAGATAAATTCGAGGTTTCGTCCAGCTTACCTTTGTGATGCTGTTTTTGGCTGACCAGCGCTTTGTGTTGCGGGATGAAGTATGATGGCATCGCTGGCAGAAGTGTGTCCGCTGTCAGGACCGGTGGAAGTCTGACTTGTTTGCAAGATGTTGTCGTATGTATCCTGGGAGGGATGGTGAACCTGGGCGAGACAGTTCTCTCATTAAAACACTCTGTGTACGGCGTTGCCATGGTGGGGAAAGGAAACATGGGAGATAACCGGACATGAAGATCTCTAGATAGTTCTGTTTCAGGGAGGATGATTTGCGTAAATGGGAATAAGAATGTGGAGACGAGGAACCTGTTTCCACCCAAGAGGTTTCATATTCACTTTCAGAACATATCTAACAAACCCAGTGCCATGAACAGATATTACAAAGAACATTTGCTCTATCATACACTAACATCTGCAATGAAGTCATTTCACAGATTGACTAACCATACACAGCCAGAATTGTGTCTGCATCATTGGAAAGTGTTACTATATCCTCCCTGTCTGTTAGCCATGATTTTTCTTGTTTTTTTTTTTGGTTTGAATTATATCGAATGCAACGCTTTACATTAAAGGGACTATGTAGAATAAAAAAACCCTGTTTTAGCGACACCAGTGGCTGTTAAGTGAACTGCAGCCAGTGACGTTTTGCTCGTGCTCACACTCGAAACACACAAGAGACTGAACGTAATTCAAGGCCCCGTTATACTCCTTTTTTGCTTCTTTTTCACTCTTCGCTTAGAAGTAAAAACTAGCTAAAAATTAATAAATTGAAATTACACTCTTATGATAGTTTGATTATAAAGTATATTTGAGACTGTAGACTGTATACTGTCGCCTATTAGATCTGACTATGTGAGATTATAGTTTGAATTAATCCCCTTTCTTTGCATGACACATTGACATTACAGTCCAGAATGGCTCTTTTGGCGTTATCCTGAACATTGTTTCATTTATTGTGTCATTGAACAGAAGAGAGGCTCTCGGGAAAACCGTTTAAACATCACATCTTTTGATTTTCCTGGCAAAAACGTCCAGAGTCCTTCATATAAAAATCAGTCTACAGGCTTTCATTGACGGAAGTCGGGAGAGGTCTCATTTTTCGTTACAAGCCGTTCACACATTGGCAACAAAAAAGCGATTAATACATGAACATCTTACATATAGCCCCTTTAAATTAAAGTAGCCTATAAAATATATAAATAATATATTATAATTTAATAATTTAAGAAAGAAAAAAAATTACAATTATATTTGGAATAGAAACTTTGGTTTCACCAAGTTTTACTATGTCACGTTTGGTTTTGTATTCATGTTTTCATGTCTCTTATTTTGAAATTGTCTCATGTTCCTGTTTTTGTCATGTGATTTCCTTACCCCATCATGTGATCCTGTCATGTGTTTCCCCTGTTCATGTGTCTTGTTTTCTATTGGATCATTGTTTGATTACGCACAGGTGTCTCTCGTTTAGTCATTAGTCTCTGTGAATATATAGCAAACCCGATCTAACGGCAATTCGTACGAATTTTACGAGGTGGCTAATTCGCATAAATTTATACGACATCACTCGTACAAATTAGTACGATTTTTGCTAAATTGTACATATTTTCCGACTTGCCCAATTTGTACGAATGACCTACCCCTGACCCCACCCCTAAACCTAACCATCACGTGGGTTTAGACAAATCGTACGAATTTGTACGAGTGAGGTCGTACGAATTTTCCACCTGTTAATCACTCGTACGAATTGGTTGTGAGATAGCGTTGCAATAGCCCTCATGTTTCCATTGTCTCTTGTCTAGCTTTGTCTCTGTAACCATTGTAACCAGTCCATGTTTATGTTCATAGTCAAGTTTAAGTCAAGTCTTTGGTTCTTTTGTATTTGTTCACATTGGGTTTAATAAAACTGCACATGGGTTCATCAAGCTTGCCTTCAGTGGACTTTGTTACATATACGATCATAACAAACTTTCAAACGGTAGTATATATGGACCCACATGTGTACTCTCAGACTTTTGGTCCCGATTGCATGTGAAGATTCATCCCAGAGAAACTGGTGTTCAAGGTAATACTGTCAGTCACCTGAGATGGGGTGACTTGTGCAAACCCAACAGTCTGCTCGTTCTGAGCTCTTTAAATGGTTCTGGAACTCTGTGGGTCTCTTATCGGGGGATATTATTCAACTACTCCCATATATGTGACCACATCTAGCACATCTTTGAATCTGTTTTGGAATGAACGTTTAGTTCCTGGATTTCTTCCTGTTTTCTTTGGCAATAGCTCAGTCGTATTTGCTGCAAATCTGGCCTGCCATCGCATCAGTCACTCTGCCAAGTCAAACAGCCCCTAAATGGATAAATGTGTTCGCAGCAGGACTCACAGTGACAGTCTTAAAAAGGCCTGTTATTAATGTCATTATACGGACAGAACAACTGATTTACAAACTCTGCATGTACGAGCAAAAGATAATGATGTCCTCAATTTGATTTTGAAGTTACATAATGGAGAAGAGGTAACTAAATATGGAGTATCCAGTACACAAGTATATATTCCTGTAGAGCTAAACTGTGCATAAGCAATTGTAAGTCGCTTTGGATAAAAGCGTCAGCTAAATGAATAAATGTAAATGTAAGTAATTTTATTATGTATTTAGCCACACCATAAAAATAATAATTTCTCCTATCCCAGGATAAAATCACAAATATTTCTTGTTGTACTGTCGCTTAGTCTCAGCATTATCAAAACATTGAAACAGTTAAATTATATCAGCCCGAACATTTATAATGAAACATTTTACAAACAAACTGTTGAGTGTATTCTATTAAACATGTGAAACACAATTAACATGCTACAAATCATTAATGACTTGTCATGAATATGACACATATTAATTTATACATAATATAAAAACATTTATTGGACCAGGGGCTTTCAATCTTTTAAATGCCATGGACCCCCAGATATGATCATTATCATGCTAGGGACCCCAATTCTAAAATTTAAAAGAGCTATATATTTTTTAAGTATAACGATCCAATTTATACTGTAAATTTTTTTTTTTAGTTTCTATCGTTACGTTATTACAGTTTTTATGATCATTGTACAAATTAGATGCTTTTTTATTTTAATATTTTTGTTATTTAGTTATTTACTTTTTAAATTTATTTGATTAATTTAAAAAACGTATTTATTTAAATCAAAAGCACTTTAAAAAAAGTACATTGTTTTTTTCTAAACTTTCCCACGGACCCTCTAGGACCCGTTTGGAAACCCCTGTGTTATACAGTGGTTCGTGGGTTTACTTCAGGATCAACACCCCAGATTGCTGACATCACGTGACTTGGCCAGTTTCTTATGTTCTGCGAATCCACTGATTCAAAGGTTTCGAATTTACATGAAGCAGTGTTTCGAAAACATCCATAACGCGTTGCCAACTTACCATGCAGGAGCAGCGCCCAGTCAATATTCATGCAGTGTTGACGATGATGTTGACTATCTTGTGCCAGTACCTCCAACGGCAAACTGCAATTTGAAAGTGTTCACAAATAACGCAATTAATACGCCAACCTGTAGCTGCACTATAAACATGCTCATGATGAGCTTTCAATAAGCAGACAGTTTTGTTCCAGCAGATAATGTTTAGTTAAACAATTCATACTTTGCACGTGACGTCACAAGTACTGGCTGGCGGGCAAGAACATCGTTCTCACTCCAGCAACGAAACCCCAGTAAACTAATCAAGGATCTTGCCAGGACGTCGCCAGTTTTACTATACAAAAGTTGGTGTTTTGAGGTTTGTGATATCTATGGTTTTTTAATGAGAACCAGAGATGACCCAACAGTAGAGCTAGATTATTTACGGAGGATTTATAACCGCTCGATTATCTTAAAAAACCTTGTCTGCTTTACACAATTTAGCTACCTTGGAGTTAATCCTATTTCTAGTCCATAGTTATGCAGCTAGCTCGCTAACAGACTGGATAGCTACTAAAAGACCCATAAGACCTGGAACTACAGGGCTCTATGTTGAAAATACCCGTTTGTTGCCCGCCAGGTATCCATGGTAGTCACGTGACTGCCAAGTATGAATATGAATGTTTGTATTTAAGACACAATCCATGGATTGCATTGCTATGCTAAACATTCTATAGTTGCCTTGACACGAATTTAAGTTCAAAGAACTACCTGTTACTCATTAGATAAACAAAAGCTTTTAAGTTGACTTTAAATGGAGCGAATTAGTTGAGTTAACCTAAAAAGTTGAGTGTGATAGGTAGCTTTAGACAAGTTAGACAAGGCAAGCTTATTTATATAGCACATTTCATACACAATGGTAATTCAAAGTGCTTTTCATAGAAAAGCAATTAAAATAGTCATAATCACAACATATGTATAATAAATAAAAATATTATGCATTAGAAATAAAAATAACAATCATATTTAACTAAAGGCTAAACTATATTCCTGACTTCCTTAAAGGGATAGTTCACTTTGAAATAAATTTCTGATATGTTTTAGCTTACCTCAAGGGCATCCAAGATGTAGGTGTCTTTGTTTCCGCAGTAGTTTCAATTTTGATATTTGTAGGTCAAACCGTTCTTGTCTGTCAGTCATATAATGCAGGTCTATGGTCACCACCTCAAAGAGCATGCACAGAGAAGTCCAAATTAAACATGATTTAATGACTCGTAAATGTAAGTACACATTGTTGGCCTAAGACACGAAACGAGCGGTTTGTGTGAGAAAACGAACAGTATTTATATAGTTTTTACCTCTTGTAACGCACAGACCGAAGCGCCCGCGCCCTCAGATCACTTGGACGTGGCTGTGTTTACAAGAGGTAAAAACGATATAAATACTGTTCGTTTTCTCACACAAACCGCTCGTTCCATGTCTAAGGCCATCAATGTGTACTTACATTTACGAGTCATTAAATCATGTTTAATTTGGACTTCTCTGTGCATGCTCTTTGAGGTGGTGACCATAGACCTGCATTATATGACTGACAGACAAGAACGGTTTGACCTAAAAATATCAAAATTGAAACTACTGCGGAAACAAAGACACCTACATCTTGGATGCCCTTGAGGTAAGCTAAAACATACCAAACATTAATTTCAAAGTGAACTATCCCTTTAATCAC